AAATAGATGGTGGATAAAATTGTACTGAAAAAATGACCACCTTTACCCTATTTCTTTTGTCCATGGGCCATGGCTTCTCTCTCTCTCACTCCCCTCTTCTTCCCCTCTCTTCTCTCACCACAACTTCCTCCTCCTCCACCTTCCACTGTTCCTGTTCCTGTTCCTGTTCTTCCACATCCTCTTAGCCTCTTCGTTCCGAATTCCAATTGTCCTCACTGCCTCGATTCCTCTCTAAGGGTAGACCCAAGAACAAACCAACGCGACCTAATGGGCTTTTGATGATCATCAATCCCATTTTGCTGTTTAACGGTGTCAGTAGTTCCACTGTCAATTTCGATACCCAGAGCCTTCTCGCCACTGTCAGTGCTGCAATTGCTCTCTCCTTGTTTCTTGGTTTCAAGGTAACAATTTTGTGTTTCCATTTTGTTTCTTCTATTTTGGTTTCGGTCTGTTCATTATAGTCTACCGGCAACACTCTATCACTTGGATGTTCGATTCGGTTTTAATCTTGCAGAGTTTCGGTTTATTAATGAAATTGAAACTGAATCAGATTTGGAGTTATACAGAAGATTCTCTTAAGGCGCCATTTACTGTGAGCTCATCTTTGGAGTTGCAAAATGGGATTTTACTCTTCTTTCGATACCATATGGTTTCTTTCGAAAATTTGCATAAGCGACATGCATTGCATCCATTGATGCATTCAATATTGCTTCCAATTTTTATACTGCGTGTGGTAACATTGTGTGTCAACGTTGATTCTTCTTCTGCTAATGTGATGAGGTTTTTACAGGGGGATCATGTGCCTTGTGAGCGTTGTGGCAACAGGGGTAATGATCTTTCTGTATCTCGACTTCAGATTGTTGTGCTTTGCTCACAATGGGCATTTTCTGCTTTCAAATGTTGTGCAAATTTTACAACATTCTGCGTCAAACATATATGGCAGAATTCTGGACAAGAAAAAACACAGGGAGGAAAAGAGATTTGAACATCCCCTGAAGAAAGGAACACGGCAGTGCCGCGAATCAAAAGGACATATAGGTAATTTCATTCTGTGTCATTTTTAAGCCTTAGCTGCTTGAATTAAAATTTCATATATTCAGATTTTTTTTTTAACGGATTTTCCCTTGTTCTAGATGATAACCTGACAATTTAAGTATGACCTATTTCATTTTATTTAATTTACTCTTTATTCCTATCAAGTACAAATGTTTTTATTTTTTCATGGTATTGCTAGTACTCCCGTTAAATTAGGCTTAGTAACCCACTTGAATCAAGTTTATTCTTGAGTTTCTCAACCCAAAATTCAAAATATGACAAATTTTAACTATTTAAGAGATGTTTAGCATTATTAAGGAATATTTAATTTTAATTTAATTGTTATCTTTTATCATTAATTGTTGTTCGCATATAATTTTAAAATTTTAAAATATTCTGTTATTAATTTTTAAGATTAGATTTAAACCTATAATCAATAGCTGAACACCTATGCTTTGTTCGTCTTATAATTTGATTAAATAGTAGACTGGCATAACTTCTCGTATCGTTTTTTTTTTCCCCGCCAACTTTAAAGCATTACTTCTGCAATACATGCATGAGAATTATAATTTGACAAGAGTGACAACAATGCACAACAAAAAGGAAGCTGCATATGTCATTTTCGGCCACTAAATAAATGTAATAACATGAAAAATATAAATATGTACAAAAGAAATAATTTGTAGCAAGCGCATGCCTGCATTTTGTTTGAGCTCACTGTCAACTGTCAAGTGGTTGTTCCAACTTTTCTCACTGCTTGGAAGGGTTGGGCTCTCCATCATCGAACTTATCATCTACATTCATCAATGAACTTATCATCGGCAATGCTGACACTACAGCCTTCGTCACTGCTTGTGTTTCGCCATCTCTCAACATCTTCTTTACACAACACGCGCCACCCACAATGCACTATTTTCAAAGATAACTCCTCCGGTTTGGCCGGTATGAAAAACACCATTTGAAGTGGTTTTTCCACAACAAATGAGGAAAAACGAATGTAAATGATACATAGTTGGTGGCAAAATCTGGACTGCGCAGAAGTGGCATAACCACGGGCTGAATTTGGATATTCACCTTCAGAAAATCTATAAGTCCAACCAAGTACGGCAAAATCATCACAGTTTGCGTGTTCCAAATCATTTTCTAGCACTAAGCATACAGCTATGCCCCACCATTCACTTGAACAGCATGAATCAGGCTTATTTACTATGAATGACACATTTGTTGGAGCAAAATGCCATGATGGGAGATCTTCCGCACAAAAATAGCTTTGATTGTGAAACCATGATGGCACTTCACTACCAGGAATAGTTAATATGCGAGTAGGTTGCAGGAAGAAGTCATCCTGTGATGAAAATTATTCATGTTAGATGTATACTAATTAATGTGTAAGAAATAGTCAAATAAGAAAATCAAATAAATTAGAAATTGAAGAGATTCAAATAACTCACAACTTGGGAATTGTTCCAACTCGCAATTCCAGACATCAGGTCACTGAGAATGTAAAATTTATATCCACCTCCTAATGAAACTGCAGATCGGCACCGACTCTATAACATAAAATTTGGGATGTTATGGAATTATAATGACTAATGTGAAACAAAGGATAGTGAGGAGAACTAAAACAAACCTGATATTCAAATTCCTCAGTGAATTCCCATAGTTGTTGTGAACACACATAATTTTTCAATAATGGACAATCACTAGCATGTATCATTGACAGGTTTGCTGGAAGTTGAGGCAAAGACCGAAGCCTTGGGCAATCATTCAAATAAATAAATTCAAGCTTTCGAAGTTTGGAAATGAAGCTCAAATGAATTTCAACAAAATTATTTCCACCCAAACCTAATGTTGTCAATGATGATAAATTGCCTATTTCACTGGAAAGTGATTCATCATCAAGATTGCAATAATTTAAATTTAACTTGACCAAAGATGATAGATTTGAAAAAGATGGAGACCACAAAAACTTAGTTGAACTTGAAGGCCTTTGAAGCCTAAATGCCCGCTTGAGAAGAGAGTAGTGATTCCATGAGGATGATTGTGCAGAAGCATTGCATGCACTAAGAGATAATACTTTCAAATTATTGAGGGACGAAGGCACTTCTTTTAGAGCAGTTCCACCCACATCAAGCTCCTCCAATGCTTCACTTTCATTCAAATTCTCTGGAAGCCTTGACAACTTTGAGCAACCATGAATATTGATCTTCTTTATAGCTTTCAATTTTTTAAAATCACTTGGAAGACATACCAGGTTTTTGCAATACTCTAAATTTAATATAGCAAGACCAGTCAAATTGACCAATGATTGAGGTAGTTTGAATATAGCAGTCCCTTTTAGATTAAGCTTTGATAAACATGTCATACCTCTACCAAACTCAGGAAGCCTTTTAACTTTTGAACAACCAGAGAGAATAAATGTCTCTAAGCAATTCATCTCCAATTTGGTTGGAAGGTTTTTAATACTTTTGCAACCTTTAAAATTAACAATGACAAGATTCTTGTGTTGCCCGAGAGAGTAGTGAACTTCAACAAGCTTTGTACACCCTTCAAGAATTAATCTTTGAAGATTAGGAGTTCTATCAAAATTTGATGTTCTCATCAGGTTTGTTGAATGACTCAAATCAATGAACTTTAGACTTGTGGAAACTGCAAAGAACCAAAAAAAAAAAAAAAAGCCTTCAAAAACCAAGAACTAGCAAGTGATACGCATGCAATAAATTATAGAAAAACAAATTTAAGCAAAGGACATTAATTACCTGATCTCCTCTCCAGAGTTCCTTTAATTTGCTGCGTTGCATTTTGAGATCAACAAGTTCACCAAATTGAGTTTGACCTGGAAGGGAATATAAAGGATACTCCTTCCAATCTATGACTTTCAGTGAATTGGGAAACAGTTAAGTCCATGAAGAAGATTCAATTGGTCATGTGAAGAATGTGATATGATAAGTAACTTGAGATTACTCATATTTGAGAAGGCTTTAGGGTCCAAATATATGACATCTGGTTTGTCAAATTGTACCACTATGCCACGTATTGCTTCAGTTCCCTATATATAAAACAATAAGTCAATCAAACTAATAATAACATGAAAAATGCATGGAATATATTGCTGAAGTAAGAATGCATAATCATAGAAAAGGGGGAGAGTGTTACCCTCATATTTCTAAGCACAAGACTAGCATCCTCCAAGGACCATATCCTACTACGATTGCCAGCATCATTGGGTGATTCGCGAAAAACAATTTCCTTGCCCATTTCTTGAAGCCTATCATGCACCCTCAAGCACCCTTCAGCTTCAGTTACCAATGATTTCTGAATAAGAGTTCTTAGTCCGATTACCAGGTCAAGACCACTATTTTCTAAAATCTGTATGACATCATCCTTGCGCAGGCCATTGAAAAAGCAAGCAATATCTAAGAATATATTCTTCTCATTATCTCGCAGTCCATCAAAGCTCACTTTAAGTATATCAAAAAGGCCATCTAAAGGAATCTTCTTGAGTGCATTCTCCCATTCTGGTATGCTTCTTCCGCAAAGAAAGGAACCAAGCACTTTGATTGCCAAAGGAAGGTTTTGAGCAGAATTAATCGCCCTTCTAGAAAGCTCCAAATAATCTTCATTTGGCTGATCTTTGAAAGCTATTTGAATAAAAAGTTGAAGGGATTCATCGGGACTTAAGAAATTCATTTCATACTGAGAAACTACACCATGCAACAATAACACATGTTGATCTCTAGTTGTTATTATTATTCTACTCCCTTTGCCAAACCATCCTTCCTTTCCCGCCAAATTCTCAAGTTGGCTTATGTCACTCACATCATCAAGGACAAGTAGAACTTTTTTACTGCATAACATTCTTCTTATCAGCTTTCTTCCTTCATAACAGTCACACACTTCCATTCTGATTGATTTTTTCAAACGGGAAAGAAGTTTTTGTTGCAGTGAAATTAAACCACCATCTTTTACAGATTCCTCTCTAACATTATGAAGAAATAAATGAACTTCATAGTTTCTGTGTATTCTCTCATAAAAATTCTAGCAAGAGTAGTTTTGCCTAACCCTCCCATTCCCCATATTCCTACAAATTGAACTTCCTCCGATTTATTCGCTAGAAATGAATCAAAATCTGCTATTTTCTCATCAATTCCAACAAGTCCATCATCAACACCTTCATCATTTGAATCGAATTGTGGGTGATCAACTATTCTTGACCTCACATTTTCAGTAACTATTTCAATGAGTTTCGTTTCATACCTAAAAAGATAACAGAATAATAACATTAATATTAAGCGTAGCCCAAAGTCATGATAATTTTTTGAAGTCATAGAAAATACCAATTTTCAGAGCTCCATCCAGCCAAGTCAGCAACTTCTCTCAAGGCATCCCTCCATCTTTGCACCTTCACTTTGTCATGTGCAAATTTCTGTTCAAGCTTTTCAAAGGCTTTTGCAAAACTTCCTTTCTGATGCCGAACATCAGACGGATCTATGCCATAAAAGATTGGAAATATATGAAGGCCTAACTCTTTCTTACAATGAAGGATCTTTAGGAGTTCATCTAAGCACCATGTGGATGCAGCATAGTTTTCAGAGAGAATAATAATTGCTGACAAAGATTCTTCAATTGCTTGAAGCAAACTTGGTTTGATAATTTCTCCCCTCCCAAGTTCTTCCTCATCTCTAAAGGTTATCAGTCCATTGTGACAGAAAGCAGCATATAAGTGGTCTGTAAAATTCTTACGGGTGTCTTCTCCTCGAAAACTTAAAAACACATCATACTTGTGTCTTCTATTTGAACGGCAATAGCTTGAAGAATATCCAACTTCTTGATCATCGAGTGCCATTGTGATACTTCAGAAGCTGGACCATTCAAAATATAAATACAACCATCAGATTGTGAACCGACTTTAAACCCAATCTGAGATAGAACATAGGTTCTTGCACAGATTAGAGAGGGAAAGTATAATCCCAAAGTGCATTCTCAACTATATATAAATTCATTTTTATTATTAAATAAGGCAGAAATTGAGAAGAATATTGGATTGAATTATAAGTACTTTATACCTATTTAATTTTGATTATTTTGTTTTTCTTGATTGATTTTATGAATATAAGAATGAAATTATCAGCTCATGTTTTTCTCATTTGACCGTTTTAGCCGTGTTCCTCTGGCAAAACTACTTTTAATTAGTTTACTTGAAAAACAGAAAAGCATGGTTGTCTTATGTGATTCTTCATCAGGAAAATTTCAGTCAACCCCTCTAAGCAAACTTATTTTTCAACAGCCCCCAAAGATTTTGAAACTTCATTCCACCCTTTTGACCAAAATGAAATTAAATGTTATGGGTGAAAAGACCATTATGCCTGTGTATGGGTTAAATGTCAAGGGTTGCATGAACAACTAAAATAAAGTGATTTACAATACAAATTAGGCAATTTACAAGATGTATACGAGAACTCACAACTCTATTGAGGTTCTATAGAGAGAAAAGTTAAATGTCAAGAATTTCATGAACAACTGAAATAAGGCAATTTACAACACAAAGTAGGTATTTATAAGAGGTACACAAGAATTCACAACTCTAATTGAGGTTCTGTGGAGAGAAAAGTTAAATTCCAAGGGTTGCATGAATAACTACAATAAGCAATTTACAATACAAATTAGGCGATTTATGTGAGGTATATGGAAATTCTTAACAACATACAAGATAATTAACAACAAAATTAGACAAAAATAGGTTCTTGTGAATGGCCTAATTGATTTGTAGTTAATTAAAGAAATAAATGTGAACCCCTTAATGCTCTAACGATCAAGCAATTTTATTTCTTTTATTGCTTGCTATTTATAATTTTATATACGTATTTCTTTTCCTTATAAATTTCAATTGTGTTGGATTGGAATTAATTGGATTGACGAAGCACAACTTAAGCTTGACAACTAAAATACTAAGGGTAAATTTTATTAATATGATTGGCTCTGTACTCCACCTTAATTATCATCTATAAAGTTTAATTAAAGAGGGGGCAACACCAATTTTCATTGCAAATCATCTTATTTTATTTGTTCATGCAATTCTTAACACTTAATTTTTCTCTCCCAGTACCTCAAATGGAGTTGTGAATTCTCGTATGCCTCTTGTAAATCACCTAATTTGTAGCGTAGATTATTTTATTTCAGTTGTTCATGCAATCCTTAACATTTAACTTTTCTCTCCATTGAACCACAAATAGAGTTATAAATTCCCTAATACTTCGTGTAAATTGTCTAATTTGTGTTGTAAATTGTCTTATTTTAGTTGTTCATTCATAGTTGAACACTTGTATTTGTTTTGTTATATATATTTCTCTTACATTATATGACTAAATGGATTGATGGCTTGGTTGTCATAATCTTTTTCGTATACCAAAGGATCACAGGTTAAAATTTCCCCTTGACCAATTATTTCAAAAATAAAATTCTCTAGCAACTAGAGCTCTAACCAGCCACTGGCACTTCAATGGCTAGCTGTCAGAGGTTAGAGCTCCAGCTGTTGACCAGCCAATGACACTCTAATGGCCGATTGTTGAAGGTTAGAACTCCGACGGTGGTTGATCTTTTTTAAAAGACTAATAATAGTAGTAGAAGTAGTAATAATGCAAGAGCATTATGGTCTTTGCACCCATACATTTAATTTCACTTTGGTCAAAAAGGGTGGAATGAAGTTTCATAATCTTCTGGGGCTATTGGAGAATAAGTTGGTTTAAAGGGAGTTGACTGAAATCTTCTTGTCTTCAAAAAGCATTGGAATCCAAGACTGGGGTAAAATGTTTAGTCAAGACATCTTTAGTTTCTTCCTTTTCTATTAACTCGAAACATGCGGACCCTAATCATGCAAGGACCATGAAAATAAATTAATTGTTTTAAAGCATAACAAACTTTGAGAATTGTACAGGAAGACCGTCTTTTGAAAGGAAAAAAAAGAACAAAAACTGACACCATTATTAGTTAATCAGATGGTATGAAATTGGAAATTACATACAGTTAAGAAATAACAGATAAAAACTTATATGAGTAGAAATTTTGAAATGTTCCCTTACTAATAAAAACACATTGGTCCCGTTTGATATGAAATATTAAAAACAAGAGATAAGAATTGGGATTGAAACTGAGAAAATGCATTAAAACGTGTTTAATGTGAGTAATTGTTTGCTGCGAATAGAAGAGGCAAACCCATATGGAATCAGGAAATACCACCCAGTCCCACCTACATGCGCCAAATCTTAAGTAGCAAGCAATCCTCACATTAGATTCCCTAATTTCACCCACATCGATTTGCCCAATCAATCTTATTAACAATCAATCACTCACATTAAAAATCTTTTAATGTATTTTCTAAATCTCAATTCTAATTCTCACATCTCATTCCCAATACTTTACGCCAAATGGGACCATAGTTCATTTTCATGTCAAATTTATTATATTACTCCACTACTACAAAAAAGAGCTTTTACACACTAATTTACGCGCTTATTAGAAAAAACAATGTAAAAATATGACGGTGGTATTTCTGTAATTATAAATATATTTTTTATGGCGGTTTTCTTAAAAACCGCCATAAAAATACTTTTAACAGTGGTTTTTAAAATAACCACTGTAAAAAATACTTTTAACAGCAGTTTTTTAAATAACCGTCGTAAAAAATCTATCAAATTTTAAAATCCATCATGCGATAGTTTTTACTTTTCAGAGTTAGATATAGTCCCCTATTACCCCGTCTTCACTCAATTTTCTCCCCCTCCTCATACCTTTGTTGACGTTTATCCTTTGCTTCTATCATCTCCACCATGTTCTTCCATCACCCGTCGCTGTCGTTTTGCCATCACCATCTCGCCTCATCCTCTTTATTCTTATTTGTGAGTTTTTCACCTCTATTTTTTCTATGGATTTCATAGTTTTTGTGGTTTGATATGATTATTTTCTTTGGTTAAAAAATGATGTTTAATCTGGGTTTGAAGAGATTTGATTTTTATCAGATCTGAGTATTTGATTTTATCAGATCTGAGTCTTATTTTATCTTTATTAAATCTCAGTGCTTCGATTTGGTGGCTAAAGGTAAAGCTAAATGGTGCTATTCGGCGAAAAAGAATATACGTTTGCTCCATCAGAATGCTGTTAACTAGTGAGAGATTATTGGTTAATTGATTTTTAGACCTTTCCTTTGAGACTTTGTTCTCTCGTTCCCTGATCAACAGATGAAAGGTAGACTAAACAAAAAAACTTTTCACAGCGGTTATTTATATAACCACCGTGAAAAGTCATTTACTACGGCGGTTCTTAAACCGCCATGAAATCCTCTACATTTTACGTCGATAGCATAGATATTGCTCTCAAAACCATTGTAAAAAAACTCATTTTAACTACCATTAAATTTTTTTTTTGTAGTAGTGCTCGCATTTAAGCTTGGAATAAAAATTGAAAAACTAAACACCTGCAAAGACTTTTCCTTGTGGTATGATATGGCATGACAATGCATTAAAGAAAGGAAGAAAAATTATGGTCAAGGACCAACTTTGTAAATGTTCTTGTTCTTAAAGATCCTGAATAAGGAATTTTCTAACAAAAATATGTTGTTACTTGCAAATCAATTGATGTCAAAACCTATTAGAAAGTATGAGAACCAAACTTGATTTAAATTTAGTAATTTCAAGCTTCTTTTTATGGGATTCTCTCTTCCCCTTATTCTTGACAATTTCCATATAATCAAATAGCCTCTTTCTCCTTGTTTGATAGTGTCAATTTTCGTGGATATGGATTACTTTGTGAAATTTTGGAAGAATATAGCATCTACCATAAGAATGGAACCATAGTTGGAGATTCAGGGCCAGCATGGGAGTGAATTATTGGTGAAGGATTTTCATGGTAGGATCTGAGCCAACGACTTCATAGATAGATTCCAAAAACAATTATACGAACCAACTAGACCATTATTCAAAAATAAATATATATCAAACGAACCAAACAATTTAGATTGGCTGCACACGCACAGAGAGTACAAATATAGTTGGAAGGGTGTGTCTTATGCTTTGAATATGGAAACCCTGATGAAAGCGAAACTAGGCGAAACAAGAATGAAGAGAAACAAAGAAACCCGATTCAAATTCTGAAACGAATGAAGTAAATAAAGAGCGAAAGTTACTTACTCAAGTTCTTGGAAGGTATACAGGGATGATCTGATGCATGAGAAGAAGGAAGAAGATGAGGTAACAATAGCAGTAGTGTCCTCTTTGATGAATTGTGACTTGCCTGACTTAGTGGGGAAGATGCTTTAAAGTGATGGAATCCTTTAAACTTATTTAATGGATGCGGGCCCCGTCAAAAATTATACGTATTAATTCATCCATTACCATTGAGTCTTCTTCTTCTTCCTCGAAAAGCATATCGTTTTGTCTTCTTTTAGGGGAAAAAAATATTTTGCGCGTAAGATCAGATAAGCGGCGGCCACTCCTCCTCTTCCCGAAAGGGATGTGTTTAAATTCATATAAGTGCGTCTCTATGTGTATATATTTTTTCTGATTTTAAATATAAGACTTATTTTATAATATACTCATTTATATCATAAAATAGATTTTATGTTTACTATAAAAAGAGTATTAGTTTTTTTTTTTGTCCCATTTGGGACGCAACTTACAATGTGGATGCAGCATTTTCCAGAGACTATTGTACCAGCAAACAAAAGTGAGGATGGCAAGGGCCACGGGAAAGGTGACTGCTTTGCATTTTCCTGTGGCTCCACACGGTTTATTTTATATTCCCGCCATTTTTCTATGTCCTTCTCTTTGACCCAACTTACATCGTAGACTCCACCACTCTTTCCTCCTTCCTTCGTGGTAACTGGTAAGTATATACGGAACAATCGCTCGTTGAAAATTTTATTGATGAAAATGTGAGATATATCGAGGCAAGATCTTGGTTGGACTAAACATCTTTGGTTTTTCTATTTTCTTATTCTATGCTTCCTATTTGTTTTTCAACGTTCTTATTTCATTTGTATGCTTTTGTGTTTTAGCAAAGAATGTTACATTCATTGTGTCAGTTTGTGATCGGCTTGGCAAATGCACAAAGTTAATGCTTTTAAATAAATATAAATTTAAGAATCTCAATTAGGAATGTTTGTGAGATAATTAGAACAAGACGGCCTTTCTGTCTCGTATTCTTTCCTATTCTAATAATATCTTATCATGTTATGAACGAGACCCGGACATCTCTTTTTTTTTTTTTTAATTTCAAAACCAAACATATTTGGGATATAAGAAATTACGGTAAAAATTCTACAAAAAATATATTAAAAATTCGCTCAAAAAATAAAGTAATCAAAATTTGCAAAGAAAAGGTTTTCTTTTAAATGACAGAAAATATATCCATTCAAAATATCTACTAAAAAAACATTATATAAGCTATACAAAAAACTTTGCAAATTGTAGAAGAAGCAAAACAATACTCCTCCTCTAGTATTTAATATGAGGCCTATTTAACTAATTTGATTATATTAATAAAGTTAGGTAAGTTAGTTAATTATAAGAATATGATATATTTTTTCTAAAACATTATAATCATTTTTCTTAATCCTCCCTTCCTCACTTACTTGATTATGGTTGAGAGAGTATGATAATTTAGGAAAAGTGGATAAATATGAGAAATATGTCTTATATTTAAGATCAAAATTAATTTAACAATTAAGTCCTATATTAAGGATTAGAGAAGTAGAAAATAGGGATCATTAGTGGAATTGGTATTTATAATTATATACGGAATGACATGAAATGCATGGAAACGGATCAATGTTTACCTAATTAAAAATCTTGAAAAAAGTTGTGGTTTTTATATTTATTTAAATAAATATAAATTTAAAATTTCTACATTAATTTCACGCGATTTATTTTTATCTTTTGCAATCTTTTATTCTCATCTTTTTCTTATTCATTCTCGGTGACCGAATTTAATCACAGAACTGGTTTCTTTTCTTTGCTTTACTCTTTTTACCCCTCTTTTTTTTCATTTTCCTTACCATTCATTATAATTTTAACTGTTGAAATTCAATATTTTATAAAATCATTATTTTGAATTTATATGAAAAAGTATAAATAAATTTAAACTACTAAAATTTAATTTGAATAATTCATAACTAAAGTAAAAAAGAGAAAAAATAAATTAATTAAAATAAAAGAGAGAAGCCAATTCCAATAGTTACATGGCAGACACAGTTTATGTTTCCTCCATCAGCACCACTCTTTCCTCCCTCCTCCATCGCAAGAACAAAAGATAGCCATAATATAAGAATTAATTGAAAATTTGATTTAGTTCTTAATATAATACTCTAATATATTTTGTCTCCCATATTCATTTATTTTTCTCCCAAAATAGTCTTTATGGAAATTACACATGTCAAAAGGTTTTTATTCTAATGTATATGATTAACAAAAATATTTTGAAGAAGACAATACACATTTATTATAAATAACTAACTAAACTAATTTTTTAATATTTATAAATTAGTTATCTAGTTCTTATATTAAGGAGTGGAAGTAGTAATTAAAAGAAGTAAAACAGAAAATATAGGAATGGCTGTTAATGAATAAGTAAAGGATTGAGTTCAATATTGCCATGGTGCCTGAACATAGACATCTTTCATAAGCTCTACAACGTGCATGCCTTTGAAATATTAGAATGGAAGTCCAAAATTCAAGACCCTTCACCATTAACCTAATCAATTGTAATATGGTATATTCGATTCTAAATATAAAAATTAAATAAATGGTTTATTTAATTTTTAATATAAGACCTCAACAATCCACTTTTTCTTCTAAATTTATAATTTTTCTCATCAATATTCCTATTAATTACATGTGGTAGGGAAATTTTTATTAATGACAGCTATAATGCACATAATTAAAAAAGTATTATAAAAAAATCAACTTGTAAAGCTGCTTTTTCTTCTAAATTTATAATTTTTCTTATAAATATTCTTATTAATTACATATAGTAATGAAATTTTCTTAAATGGGAGCTATAATGCACATAGTTAAAAAAGGGTATCGTGAAAAAAAAAATTAACATGTATTTGTTATAAATAACTAAATTAATTTTCTTAATTTACTTAACTTAGATGAATAATTCTTATATTAAAAATAAGAGATAATATACTTGCATATCATACAGACTACTCTAGAAAGAAATCTCATTAACCTTTATGTATAACCAACAAGGGAGCACTATGGGCAATAGATAGCCTCCTCATAGATATCTAACCGGTGACAATCCAATCATGGACCTTAAAACAGCTAAAATGGGCCCTTTGATTATGGAGCCATAACGAATTATCTAACTCTTGTTGTTATTGTTGAACTCTCCAATCAAGATTTAAATTCTTATTAAGAGAGATATTCACATTTAATACCTAATAATATTTTAAATAAAATTGCTTCCAATAAAAAAGATATATATGCTCTAGCAAAACAAAAAACAAAAAAAACTCTCCCTGCTGAAGCCAATCGCCTCCCGCGAGTAGAGATATTCATCATTGTCTAATAATGAAAAATAGTGGCTTAGATTGTACGAACCTCTCTCTTAAATTTGCCACAAATCCTTGCAAAAGGGAGGTGAACCATGTTTCATCGATACAAATTATGGCATGGACAATAAATATACTATCTCATGATTTTAATATAAAGCTAATTGAAAGTTGAATTTGATCTTAAATATAATATCTCAATCCATTTTGTCTTCAAAATTTATAATTTTTTAAAAAATATTCCTATTACTTCTAAGAAATTCCTACAAAATTAAAATGTACTTCCAATACACATCATTAAAAATGACGTTTAAAAAATCCAGCATATATTTGTTAGAAATAGCCAATTCAACTAAATCCCTAATAAATTTAATAAAATATAAAATATACAATTTTTCTCTATTATTTATATATTTATAATTATAATAATTATTTATTTTATTTTTATTTTGAATATTTTTAATCCAATTTGAATATTAATTGATAAAATATTTATATTTATTTTTTAGAATAATTTTATAAAATATCTCCAAAGCTTAGTGGTTCTCCTGCACAACCTTCACGGATTAATGAAATGGGAGCTTGTTTATTAGGCCTATTCATGTGTAAAGGTTAGCCCATATTTATTTTGGAATTCTTTTTTCGTTAAAGCATATGTATCCTCTTATTAGAAGTAATCTTATTCGAGATATTGTCAGGCATTAAATGTGGATACCTCTCCTAATTAGGATTCGAATATTGGCTCGTTATATTGTGAGAGACTAACCCTTTTTGTTAAACCCAATCCCGTTGGTATTTTGGATTTGTGTATTGAGCAATGTCCACGTCATTTCACCTCATGTTACATAATTGTTATGTGATGTAATTTTGTCTTGCTTTTAAGAATAAGAAGATGCTTATGCTTATGGCTGTGGGGATTTAAGTGTCCACATTATATCATGTTTAGTTTACTCCTTTAGTTATATATCACTCTTTTGAGCTCAAATATTTCAAGTGAATATTATAAGATGAC